TCACAAGTAACCGAAGTTTACATTGCATCCGTACTAACCCTCATGCGAGGCTAGCACACACAACCTCCAACCGACCCATTCGGACTGCCACCATACAAAGTGAAATGTGGAGTCAATCCATCGACACTCAAACACGTAATTACTCCCTATCAATGAGCAGCAATACCGAAAGTCGTCACCACCCAATGCATGTACATGTCTTTATGCAAGCAGCTTTTTTGGATAAGAATTAAGGAATGGATAAGAAAGATAGGAAACGGAATATGGGTAGACATATCCAGACGCGGTGATGAGGATGTGGGAATCGAAAAATATGGATCTCATGTCCCGAGCGGGACTCGCTGAACGCCATACCCAAACGCAAAGACACAACAGAATAAATGAAGTCGCGTGACACGACAAGAGTTTGCGTCGGACAGGGGGAGTATGATCATCACTGCATGCGTTTTCGCTTACGCACGTCATCTGCCTCATCCTCCTCACTGCGCTCCGCTGTCTCCGCGGGATTGAGGAGCGAGTGGACATTGGACGCCATACTAGATCGTCGAGTAGGTGGTCCAGTGTCGAGGCCTTTGAAAGGGTATCTAGCTCCCGGTAGTGTCCAGCCAGCATCTGGATTTAATGTCGATGGCATGTTCTCATTTGGCGGTGGAGGAGAGCCGTGTCTTGACTGTGCTTGCCGTGGACCGCGGGGTAATTGGTATGATTCCAATGCATCACGGAGCTGCTGGTCACCACCTCCGATAGGTGGATGGCGCGGTGACGAGGGCCATTGTGTGGAGTTGTAACCAGAAGCGTAGGGCGAATTGACAGCAGGGTTGGGTGGCTGCGGTTGCCAACCGTGTAAGCGGATATCTGCCGAGGTGTGCCGCCTATATAGATTATACGGAGGGGACAAAGTGCTTGGCAAGTTGCTCCCCTGGTTTGCACCTCCCGGCTGCTGTACTTGTGGAGGAGGAGGTGGGGGTGGCTGATGGGAAACTGGGGTCCTGGCTGAAGATGGAGAGTAATTACCCGTGCCTATTGAACCGTAACGTCGCGGAGAAATTGCAAGATGGGCCGGGATCGCAGCCTTGTATGGAGCTTGCCGTGAAACGTTCGCCAAGGATCCTCTCCGCGATTCTGTTAGATTGTCTTGTGGCATTTGCCGGGGTGAAAGGGGTGGGCCGTTGCTGCTGTCTACTTGCATAAAGTAGGATTGGCGTGCGGAGAGAGGTGCATCTTCTGGTGGCTCCAATGCTCGGAGCATGTCTGTTTGTCGAGCAATCTCACGCTGCATCATGGCGACTGCAAAAGTCAGTGTGTGTCGCGCAGATAAGGTTTGAGCATTGACGCGTACCATCCCTATGGATAGGGTTTTCCGGGTCCGGCACCATTTGCATGATGAGGTTTGCAAGGTCCTGATTCCACTGTATAATCTGTTAGCTGTTGTACATTGGAGTCTAGACAATCGACTTACTTGGTGGCATTTCATCATGCCCTCGGCTAGCACCGAACTCCTTTGAGTGAGGTATGCGCATGTGTCTTCTGATCGCTGCATGCGCGCATGCATGTCATGGAGGTTATATTCGAGACTCTGGAGACGTGACTCGACAGGGTCCGGCATTGGGTCGACCGCCTGCCCAGCTGGTGGGCCAAGGGGCATTTTGGGCGCGGGGAAGGACTCGCGATGGACGAGGGCATGTCTAGAAGCACGTCGCTTGATCTCGCGCAGACCGACCAGATCGCCTCGCTTGAAGTTTCCGTTGCCGTGCTTGAACTCCCATAGGGGAGTGTCGGGCGATCCAGTGTGGAACACGTCGCTCACTGCGGCAGTACAGTCAGCATGTGATTATGGCATGGCGGAAGGAACTCGGACACGTACCCTTGTGGAAGCCGTACATGTTCAGCTGGCGCACAAATGAGGAAATGTTGGTGTGCTTGAAGTAGGACCTGGGATTTGTTAGTCGGAAAGCCTGAAGCGGCCGTGGCTTCAGGTGTACGTACGAAAGGACTTTGGAGAACTCGCTAGAGGGTGACATGACGAAACTCTCGTTAGTGCTCGCCCAGGAGATGAGGTGCTGGATGCTCTGGTCTTCGAGCATGCTGTGTCGTGTTAGTGTCGCATCGCGTGCGTACTGTTGCGGCACACGTACTTGTATAGCTTGTGTATGAAGGCCGTCTGGACGACCTTGGGCTGTTGTGCAGCTGCGGCAGCGCCCACTGCAGGCCCCGTGCTGCCATTGGGAGGCGACGTGTTTTCCGAATCGCCGTTTCCTTCTCTTTGCGACGGCAGTTGGAACGAGACCGATTGGGTGCGCTCGTTGGGCGGGCCCATGGTCGACGACGAGGGCGTGATGTCCATGGGGTCCCGGGACGCCGCAAGCCTCGGGCTGGACGAGGGCAGGATGGGAATCGACTTGTGCAGGTTGGGATGGTGAGGGTCGCCCGAAAAGGGACTGCGGCGGGCCTCTGCGACAGAAGCCATGTGGGCGATGTGGAGAGCAGGCGTGGTGTTAAGGTGTCAGGCCTGCTGCGTGCGTGGAGACGGGCGCACGGGGGTCGTGCAGGGGAAAGGGAATTGACAGCGTGCGATGGGCGCAGAGATTCAGAAGTGTCTCGAAAAATGCTTGAGGTCGGGTGGATGCAGGGTCCCGACTATGGGTGGCAGCGAACGTGGGCGGGCGGAGAAGATGCGGAGGAGCATGCGATATGTGTGGCCGACGTCGCCGCAGAAGCTTCGAATCGGCGGGCGAGCGTCTTGGAAGCTTCCTAGGCTTGGGGATTTCTTCTAGCGCCTGCGCGAGCCGTAGAAATATGGTTCCAGAAAAAGTCGGCGTGGCAGACGGTGCCAGTGGTCCTTTGTCGGATCGGGAGCGGCCGTCGCTGAGGAATAGGAGCTCGCGCAGTCCGAGGGGCAGGTCCGAGCGCTGAAGACGACGACAATTCCAGATGCTCCGGGATACTGTGTTTGAGCGTGCAAGGCTTGGCGGAGGGAGGAGGAGACAGGTTCGTGGGAACTTGCAGACTGCGAGGCGCGGCGAGATATGCTGGCGTGTCGCAACACTGGCTACGGACGGAAAGGAGGTCCAGGCACGGGGCGTCGAGGGCGGAACGGTAGCGCTACCGCTGAGAATACTATGGGGGATCGTGATGTGGGAGCGTGCTGCGGGAGCATCTGAAGGCCTTTGCGCACCACCAGCCGAGCCAAGTGTCATCCAACGCTGAGGGGACACATGGTCATCTTCATTTATCTACCTATCTATCACCGCCCTCAGCACTGTGTAGCTCTAGGTACCCCAACGCCCGCTGACAGTCCATGGCCCGCCGTCCGGGTTTGCTGCCATGGTAGGGCAATGGCATGCAGCTCATGGCAAAGACGTCCCTCCTTGTCGACGTTGCATGTGCCCGCCACCCCTGTCGTCGGCCAGCTGCAGGTCGAGACACTGAAACATTGCTCGACCATAATAACCCACCGCTAATATCACTATAACGCGAACTGTTTCTGCTGCGGGGTCAGCATATAATGCGCCTCATATGCCTATGCTCCTCCCGAGTGCCCGTGATGCGGCTGCGGATGCGGAAGGCAGTGGCACAGACTAGAATACCGAACCTTCGCCAGAGTTGCCTCAAATGCTGCCGGGCAGCTGAAGCCGACTGACTCCCTTGCCCATGGTCAAACATTGCTAGTACGACTCGCGAGCATCGACGCCATCCTCGGCTTTCACGCGTGGTGTAAGCCAGGGGAGGGTCCAGGGTCTGCAGGCAGCCTACACGCACATACCTCCTTGGATAAACGTCAACCACCAACCTTCCTTCGAGTCAGCCTCGACCGACTTTCCCCAGGCCAACCCAGGTGCCGTCAACGCAGAACGTTAGCTTTACCCCGACGCTACCACCTGCCGTCACCGCACCAGTCTATCACCGACCGCTCGGGTGGCGAGTCGCTGTCCTATCGATTGCCCTGCCTTTGATCGGCAGAAAAAGCAGCATGGCTACCGAATTCATCAATGCCTTTCGACGCATGCATGTACATGAGAGAGAACAGGCACTCAAAGCTCTAACAGCAGAATTATCGCCGTATGAGTGGAGGACGCTCCACGCCACGATAAGTAGTCGTACCTTCCAATTCGACGTCATCGGCAATCTACCCGTTGAGCTAGTGGCCCAGGTGTTCTCGCATTTAGACGTTGCTGCTCCTTACCGCTTGCAAAGTGTCTCAACACGATGGAAGCACATTCTCCAGAGCTTACACGTTATCAAAGCAAGCCTCAACAATTGGTACCAAGGTACTGTCAACTTCCAAGATGCCGACCACGCTCTGTGTCAGAAGAAAGCCCGCAAGATAAATGCCTTTCGTACTGGCAAGCCGCGTAAAGTCTACAAGATAACACCCAAGGACAGTATAGATGATATCTATCTAGCAGGAAACAGTCTCATCTGGCAAAGCCTAACCTTCACCCCGCAAAACCAATCGCGAAATGTTTGCGTCCTCGATCTAGCTACATGGGATCTTCGCTTCCTGGGTGGCGAAGGCCGTGAACGAATTATCGACGTCTTCGTATCTAGTGAGATTGTGGCGCTAACAACCTGGGCGAACATCTGCTACGTTCACGAACTGCATGGCAAACGAGGTTGCAAGAAGTTCAGAGTACCAAATAACAACTATTTCGCCAGCGTTGCCTGTCGAGAGCGCACTGTCGCATGTTATCATATCGACTCCGGTTTTGCATCGGTGTATATCTGGGAATATGACTCCCAGCGTGGAAGATCCTTCAATATTAATTTTGAACCCAATAACATGTTCTGGGGGACCGATGTCGTGTAAGTAATCTCTCTGGGGCTGCTGAGCGGTGCTCGTACCCTTTGAAGCCAAGGAATACACCAACACTGGGATCCTCTATGCATTCTTTGCACGTAAAGCTAACCCGAGTCTAGCATGAACGAATCGATTGGTATCGCTCCTATCATACAGCCTGCGACCCAGACAATCATCTTATTTGCCAATGCCGCACGTAACAATGACGTTCCTGTCCATCAACAGTTCTTCGCGTTCGGGCGCTACACATACAGCGGGGAATGTCTTAGCACACATCACGCGAACTTCCTCGGGGTAACTGCTCTCTCGGAGTGGTCCCATACTACGAACACCTTCGTCCCAGTCGACGACAAACAGAACATACTGTCAATAGTCATGCGAGACACCAACGGCAAGTCATCCTTCCTAGTGCGATTCAACGAAGAAGAGATGGACATGAGTGTATGGGAGGGTTCCCGGCTATATGAACATCCCGAATTCTTTCATACCAACGGTGCCATGGCGTGGTGGAAGGACACATGCTACGCCGCATTCTGGGATGGGGACGTCGAAATGCGTGACACGATTGCGCTTATGGATGGTAAAACCGACAAGCATGACATGAATGCGGTTGAGGGCGCCAGTAACGGCAGAACCTACAAGCCCATCGTGTCTGAATCAACAGACGACGAGTCACTCGATCTCGATATCAACGCCCCCGTTGTCATGAACGAAAACTATGTTATCAGAAACGCGGGGAACAGGTTCTACATACTCTGCTTCGACGACGACGATGAGGGGAAGAAACCGCAGGAGAGTGGGTCGTTTTTTGATCAGGGGGAGCTTGAGGTGTTGAAGGGTATGGATACTTGGTTCGATCAACCACATTACAAGGGGTGGCTACAGTCTCGGCCATATGCCCGTGCAAAGGATATGTTAGGGGAGCTGCTTGCATTATGTTCAGAATCTGACTAGTCATTGAGATATAGTAGTGTATGTGTAGCAACCCCTAGTAACGCTCCATACAACAGGACACTAATCAACTCTGAACTCTCTGCTGCGCCCAGATTCCCCTAATTCACATCTCCTACGTCGCACGCCATAGCATCCAAAATCTCTACTCCGATCAACCCATCACTAATCAGTCGACCATGACCGATAACGAATCTGAACCGTGAAATGCTAACCACGTCAGATTGGCACGATCTTTCATGTCAAGTCATATGTTCATTCAATATCTATCTTGCTATCCAATCCCATTCAAACTCCAGTATATCCCATCCGTCCGTTAAATGCTATCGATCGAATGCCGTAAATGTTACGCAGACTTTTCTCTTTCATCGTTGTCGTGATCTCCCTCCCATCATCCCTTCTATCCTTCCTCGATGGAAAAATCCTATTGCTTACCCTCCTGCTCCCTCGAAAGACGGTCATGCTCGTCAATGTCACTATGAAAAACGTTAGCACTTCCTCAAAACCATACAAATAACGTCAAAAGACAAGTGAAAAATACGTACGTAGCCTCCCAAGGATAACAAATCCAAACATCCCCCACCGTCCTCGCCGCACTATACCTCCCCTTGAGAATCTCCTGCGGCAACGCCCCCTTCTTCGCCTTATCCTTATTGTGCAGCACAAAGATACTGAAATTCGTTTTCTCGCCCTCCCGACCCAACTTCTTCACCGCGGCTTCCACATCCTTCTCCAACTCCCTGACTGCGTATTCCAGCGTCGTGCGCGTGTCGTCGACCTCATCGACGATGAGCACGTTCTTGCCAATCAGATTCGCCATCTCGAGCGATGAGAGGTCGAGCCATTGTGTGCGCGTGACTTTTGTGCCGGGTGTTTCGACGTCTTTGTCTGTGGTTGTGGGGAGGGTTTCGTAGAGGGAGAGGCCGATGGCTTGGATGGGGATGTTGGGGCTGTTTTCGCGCTTGAGGAAGGATCTGTCAAACAAGTATATTAGTTCATGTTGTCTGGTATGTATGGTGCCGTGTGGGGTTTGGGGATATAATACCGGAGGATGCGCGCGGGGACGTAGCCGCCGCCGCCGATGGCGATCATGAGGTTGGGCTTGAAGTCATTGAGGATTTGGTCCGCGGCTTCTTGGCACAGCTTGTGCACCTGTGGGGAGGAGGGTTGTTAGCTGTATTCTTTGTGCTTTGTTTGCTGCTTCGTGTTGCGCAAGGGTTCGATTGTCGTGGTCGCATGTATACGATACGAGTCAAGTCTCTAGGATCGCTTTCCATAATAGCAGCATGGCGCGATACCAGCCTCGCGTCGTAAAAATCGTGGTGACACAGAGACACCTCACGCGCGTGCGTGCGCGGGGTGTCTGATCGCATGTGTAACATTGGACCTCGAAAGAACGTACCTGGTTGTATGTGACGTAAACCTTCTCGACCATTTTCGCGGTAGTATTCTGAATATTATCTCCAAGTGTAAAGAGTGGAATCAAAGTCAAACAGAGGAGTGGAACTGTTTTTGCAAAAAAAAGTCTGTCCGCCCGCGGGAGAGTCAAGAAATGGTTACCTACTTAGGTAGGCAAGGCTAGAGCGGCGTACGCCGAAAATCTATGGTGGGGGATTAGTGCCCCGCAATCTGGGACTGGACCAATCAAGTGAAACGTGGTTGTGATTCACATGCGCGCCTTGGTTCGTGGACCCTTCAGCAGCAGGTCTTCATTCACAGCAAGCAGATACAGCAAAGTCGAAGTATTTCTAAGCAGGACGAACAGGGTATATTGATTGACTGATGAGGGTCATAACATCGTAACCATTACCCAACAAAAAGCACGTCCATCTGATGCGATGCTATGCTTGCGACAAGCACTCCCGTCTCCATCCCTTCTAGCTCTCTACAATCCTTCGTTCAAGTTGAAAAGCTTCCGCCCGCAAAAAGGGTATATCGTGATTATTATACAAGAAGGTAAAGCAAAGTAACCCAGATAGACCACCTTCTCTTTTTTGGTAAAACGCCGGACGATGAGGGAGATAAAACGCTGCAAACGTATATGTAAGTATGAGAAAGGCACGGCCGAGGAACGTTGGACTCGTGCTGAACGTTCAATTGGTTGAATGGTTGTTTGATGATGGCGTGGGCGGGAGAGAAGTCTGGCTTCTTCACTTGATGCCCATTTGGCGGAACTTGCGGGATGCGCGACGGCGCAGGCGGTTCATGCCCATGGCCTTCCTGAGGCTGTCCCGATCATCGTCTTCATCTTCTTCCTGTGGTACGGTAAGCATTCGCCGACCGTTTGTGGTTTTGACCGAAGTCTGGTGCGCCAGGATGTTCTGTTCACGCCAGAACATGCGCTTTTGGTCAATGACGTTCTGTGACAGGTTGCCGAACCCCTTCTTCACGAACGCCAGGTCGTGCAGGATGTTGGGGTCGAGACAACGTCTGGGCAGTGTCTGGACTGCCATGAAGATCTCGCCATCGCCAGGACGGTACTTTTTGATTTCTGGTTCACCCAGCTTGAAGATGGCAAGGGCGTAGCGGTAAAGGGCACGGGGTCCTTCATAGAGAAAGGCGTCCCAAACGCGGAGTACCGTTTCGATTGGCAGAACACCAACGAAGATGCTCATGAACCAGGAAGTGCAAGAAAGGGCCACTGTGGGCTGGCGTTGGAACTTGGAGTTGGGGTGAGCGTTGGAGCCGGCGCCGCTGTTGATGAGATCGGTGTCGTTGATTGATGCCCATACCTTTGGCAGGTAGTCTTTGATCAACATCATCAGGACATTGACCTCGGTGTTTGCCAAGCTGCGAGCGTGAGCACCAGGCAGATGGTTTTGCGTGATGATTGTGAGAAGGATGAAGACCTTCTCCTTGTCCTGCTTCAGGAACAGTAGAAGAAGGCCGGCAATGAAGTTGAGCGACTGGCAGTAACCAATATTGGGGTTGTTCAGGGCGAAGCAGGATAGAACTTCGCGCAGGTCCTGGATCAACACTGGTTCGTCGTCAGACTCGCCGTCCAGTAGATCAGTCGCTGCTTCCGGGCGGAAATGGATGTTGTCGGGGAATGTCCTGTCAAGATCGCGCTCAATGGCATCTTTGTCGTCTTTGTTGAGCTCATCACGGTTGACACGAGCTACCAGAGACTTGTACAAGCCTACATTTTCCTTTCGCGCAAGCACATGCTGGCCACCAGAATAGTACCACCACATGGCACCTCTCCACTCAGGAGGGTAGCCCTTGCGAGCATAGCGCTTGACCTTCTCGCACATTTCAGGGAACCTAGTAGGCTCATTCGTTGACAGACCTTGCTTAGCCATCAAGGAGATCCATTTGCCTCTCCGGCGGGAGATGTGGTCTTCGTATTTGGAAGCCCATGCGTTGTACTCCTGCACGTTGATCTTATCGGAAGCTTTCTTGAATCCATAGCGATCTCTCTCGGTAGGGGCAGCCGTCTTTCGCAGGCCAGGTATTACGGTGGGGATTTGGCTGGGAGGTGCCAATGTAGGGCCTCTTGGGGACTCGGGCTTGCTCTTGGCTGTCGTGAGCTGAGACATCATGCCAAGATCGAACAGTGCGCTTTTTCGGTCGAAGACACTCGTGGAAGCGCGACGAGGAATAGCCTCGTCTTCGTCCAGCTCAGGGAGCGGCTCAGATCTTTGCATAGGCGGAGATTGAGGAACATGGGAACTGGCAAGAGATTCACTGGAAAAAGTGCGAGGGACGCTTGGTCTCTTGCTGTGTCGCTTGGAGTAAGCTTCGATGTTGGCCCAATCCTGGCGCGACATTCGCGACCGACTTGGGGGCAGTTGTGGAAGATTGGAAATATCACGACGGATATGGTCTAGCTGTGAGCGGCTACCCATCGATCTACTCGAGCGGTGGCCCTTGGCTTCCGTGGTTCTGAGAGCAAGAGCTTGCAGTGTGACAGACACACGCCTCGGTGCTTCTTCACTTGTTCGTTTCACTGTGCTCGATCGCTTCTTTCTGGACTGTTGCGTTGCGGCCTCGATTGTTCGTGGGGTGTATGCGGCCTGGAACGGGCTCACTTGTACCGAGGGCAGTAATTCGATTCGCAGCGCCTTTCGCTCTGTCGGATCGAGGTTGTATACCTCGTCCACATCCGAGCCGGAAGGAGGACGAATTGTCAACAGCTCCTTCGAATCCGCGTTACGTCCAAGTTTACTGTGCGTTGAAAGGCGTGTCCGATCATCCCATTGCTTGAGGCTTTCATTCGATTGAAAGGAGTCCAGGGAATCAAAATCGCGAGAGGGCGTTTGCGACAGCTCGGGGAGTTCCGCGTCAAGACCTGCTGGCGAGGGGCTGTGCATGTCTCGTTCATCCTGCTCCATGATAGGACTACGCTCCTCATCTTCCTCGTCGTAGTAGTATGAATCTAACACATCGCCAACAGCGTCTAGATTCTCATCTTCCTCGGCGATTTCTGAAGTCAGTATAGTTTCCGGGGAACCGTCGCGTTCCCGAAGGCGTTCCAGGCGATCTCTCGATGGATCCCGGGAATAGACGCTGTTGTGTCGATCACTGGCGATGGAGCTCCGTGCAGTGACAATACTGCTTCTTTCCGTGCCACTAGTCTCGAGTACACTGGAAGACGCATTGGTCCAACCAGATCTGAAACTGGCCCGTGGCTCCTCACCACGAAACGGTCGAGGTGGGGGAGGGTAGTAGTCAGTGTGGGACCAGTTCGGAACACCTCTGTTCGGCTTGTAGGTGCCGGATAGATTGGAGCGTTCGTTGCCTCGGTATTGGGCGTAGTCGGGGATCGAGGTCACGGATCTCAGAGGCGGTGTTGGATGGAAATTTTGCGAAGAGTTGGTCATTCCACGGGGCCTGAGAGGGGAGCTGGGTGAGCCAGACAGGTCTTCGTTGGAAGAGTCCCATGATGGCCCGGTCGAATTGACGGGATTGCTGGCGAGCGGGTTGAAAATAGCGCGGAGGTCAGGCGAGCGAGGGCCGCTGTCCTGGCGGGCCATGGCAGGAGCCATTATGGGGGACATTGGGGCAGATGCCATTCCCGCTTGCACGCCGTTGGGAGGGGGAGGTACGGCGGCATGGCGAAGTAGGGAAGGAGCGCGATGGCGCTGGGAAAAGCCGGGGGAAGGCAGTGCTGCAAGCGGAAGGGTCGGGCTGTCTGCAGGCGAGGGACTGTAGGCGGGCCGCTCGTAGGGTGGCGCGTCTGCTGTGTCCATCTGGAGCTCAGCTGGGTGCTTGGCTCGGTGCGCTCCAAAGCCTCTTCTCGCCGCATACGGGAGCTGTGGCTGGGGCGATGTCGGCGGCGTGTATTCCGCCGTGGGAGAGCGGTAGGGGACGTATGGTTCCGGCTCGGCTGCTGGAGAAACGCCTGTAGCGACACGTAGGAGAGCGTCGCCCATGGCGTGGTGAAGGGGTGCGGGTGTGGTGGGCGTCGGCGGGACGGGCGCTCATTCGACCGGAGAACAGGACAGCTCGGAGGTTGAAATTCGCGGTAACATTCTCGGGTGCAGCGCAGGTGTGGGCGGTGCTTATCGTGAATCGGGTTGGTGGAGGCCTGCTCTGGGGGCGCGGCGGCGGGTCGACGTGGGCGAGCTCAGAGGTCTCGGTGTGTGTGAATGGGGTCAGGTAAAGAATGAGGGCATGCGAAGGATAAGGAACGTGACGTGCGGCACTGGCGCGGTGCAATCAGACGGTGGTGAGGGATGGGTGCCTGCAACGTGTAGCAGGAAAGTCTCCTTCAGCTCCCGCGCCTGGATCCGTCCGTTCACTGAGTCGCTGCCAAGACGCGGCGCTTCCCTCATCCCCGATTCCTGTAGGCTGGGAGGTCGCGGGCCGGTAGGAGCTTGGTGGACCTCAGCGGGCGTGTCAGAGGAGTTCGTTACTCTGACATGCAACGGCACAAATTAGGAGAGTTGCATAAGCGCTGCAACAGGTACCGACCGCCCGCCGCCTCGAGCAGGAATTCGCGAAATTGACGCGCTCCCGGCGAATCAGCGCCGCCGGGGATATTCAGCCCGGGTGCAGTCATCACGAAGCAATACACCGTCGACGGCCTTGTCTAGTCGGTCTTGTGCCCTGGCGACAAGTCCTCGCAGCCATCACACTCCGCGCGCGCTGCACGCCGGCTCTCTCGGATTACATGAATGCACTATTTGCTTTGCTGGAACACTTGCGAGGCGCGTGCCACACGCTTTGTTGCGCTTGACTCGTTAGCTTGGCCCTGCACTCGCTGCCAGCACTGCGCTCGAGCACCACTCGCATAGAGAATAAACTTGGACAGCTGACAGCTAAGCACGCAGCAATCTCAGTTGGGAAGTGCACTAGGCGTCGAAGCCTCTTGCGGGCTTCGAGAAGGAATTTCCCAGGCTCCCCCTTGTCCTGCCCTGCGGCTCGCTTCTACAGCACTGGCACAGACGACGCTGGGAGATTGGGACATGACGACATGTTGCGGTTGCACTCATCTTATTTGGCGAGCCCGAGTAAGTCTACCCTGCATAATCGCCCGATGCCTACCTAAGCTGCGGATGCATCGCGATCTGCAAAACATTGGATGCTTCTTCGCCCACACCGGTCAAGACGTGTTCCGTCCGCGTGCAAATTTCGCCGAACGCCAAAGATGCAATATGTATCCGACGAGCCCTGTGCGACTGCCTACTCTAATCGATGCCCATATCCGCCTGGCCGGTAGAGGACCCGTGACCCCTCACTTGGCATAGCGCTTGACCCAGTCCTTTACGTTCTTCTCAAACTCCTTGCGGTTCTCCCGGTACTCGTTGGCGATGGACGGCTCGATGGCGTCGTCCGGGTTGGGCTCAATGAGCAGCGTCTGGATGAGGCGCAGGACGGACACCACCTTGTTTGGCGGCTTCCACTCGTCAGCGCGCAGCAGACCCAGGCACATGGACCCCTTGTCGTCGTTGCTGACGTTGGGGTGGTAGATCTTGGTTCGGAAGCTGACGACGGGTGGCTTGAAGGGGTATTCGGTCGGGAAGGTAATCTCGAGCTTGAAGTGGCCGCCCTGCAGGCTGTTAGCAAGCGCTACCCACGCCGCACGGAGGGCGCATGGATCAAACCTACAGCATACGCCGACTGGGCTGGCCCGTCCATCAACACCTCCCACTTAGTCATGTTCTGCTCGTCGAAGTTGATCTTCATACCCGGCGGTGTGTCAGCCATGCACTCGCCGTACTCCTGTGGCCCTGTTAGCATGATTACTTCTGCGCCGGCCTCCATATAGTGGCTTGCCTTCATAATACGCTTCTTCGCTCCGGTGCTCATGTTTACGGTTGGTTGAGTGAGTTGTTTGTAGGTTAGGCTGTCTCGTGCAAGATACTCTGGGACTGCACTGGGGTGAGCGGTGTGGTTAAGTAGCCAGGTAGAAGCTGGTGCACAGATAAAGGAAGCGCGGACAGTAAGAACAGACTGCAACACCGTAACTGCGCTCGTGGGTAGGCGGATGCAGTGCAGTGGCAGGTGATTGACGTGAAAAGAGGGTTGTAGATGTGGGGAAAGTTGCCTATGGATGACGAGGGACCTCGATTCCTTAGTCAAAGCTCCGCACGCGGCCCGGTAGACGATCGCCTGCACACGTTCTGGTAGCAGGATCACGCTAGCATTCACACGCTGCCAGTTTCCATCTCTGTCTCTCTTCAAAAGATGTCTGCGACACGTTGTGACTCCACTTGACGTTCGAGCAACGTGACGACGTCATACTGTCACCAAGGAACACTCGTCTCGGTTCTGGTGCCTCATTCGCGAGTGCCGAACATCAAGGTGCACCCCCGTCCTGATATCTTATCAAGCCGCCCCGGTCCATACCGCACGTATATCTCCGAGACTGCACATCCTCGCGATCCGTCTAGAACACGTGGTTTTGACCGCTTGACAAGCTATCGTGTTTCAGCTTGGGCCTGACAGCAACGACAGCTTGCGACAGGCACGCAGGCAGGCTTTCACGCTTTCACGCACCATCATAGCGCATAAGCGCTGCATTATACTTCGGAGTTCCGAACTTACTTCTAGATTCTGTCCCCGTCGGAGGACGTCTTCCTAAACTTATGCGCTATGCAGGGCTGCAAGACTGGAAATTGGGCTCATCTCATAGGCACACTCACTTTTGTTGTGAGTCACCGACTGCCCAACACCCAGATCACGTTACATCGCGACAGAGACGCGACGCGCACACCTGACGGCCCGATCAAAACGGCTATGAATTCAAACACAACTTCCCTGCCCATGCTAACTTATTTCTGCGCTCCATATTGACGTCGCTAGGTCCAACGTCATACCGCTTGCCGTTGATGCTCGCTTATCGTCACTCCTCGAGCCAGAAATCCATCGTCTTCCATGTTTGGGAAAGCCTCGAATGAGCACTCACAGCAATCAATGATGGCGCCTCGCAGCCTGACATCTACTGCAGCTCGCATGCAGCAATGGGCGAATAGCGATAACAATCTGCGTGACACAGCCCAGCGTGCCAGCGCTAGTTGTCCCAGGCGACAGGGGCGGCGACTTGGCATCGCCAGTATTTAACAGGCCGCAACCCCACAATCTTCAGCCTTTACGCCTCACGACAAGCTTGAGTTCGACAACCAAAGCGTGCTTTATCTTCACCACCAGTGTTGGTAGACTCGCTTAAGCTCTTCGGATTTTCAACGACTTTTCTCTCCCGAAAGGTTTGCGAAATCTGAGAGTTTCCGGAGCTCCATTTCTCTTACTTGCTGCTGCGTCACTAACCTGTCCACTCTTTACGAGAAACTTCGTCGCTCGCTACTTCGATTCCGCTCTTCGGTCAACATGTTCGGCAAACGCTCTTTCGCTAGCTCGAAGGAGAAGGACCGCTCAGGCAAGATTACCAAACAGCCGAAGAGATCGTTCCGCGATGCGTCCAAGCAGAAGGTGATGGTCGAGAAGCTGGATGCGCGCAAGGACAGTCCAATGATGGACGGTGGGTCACCATCGCTCACCTCTGCCATTGTGACAGTGATCGTTGGTTCCGACCAGCGACTGTTCGCTGCGCACGAAGACGTCCTCTGTCATTCCCCGTACTTTGCTGAACTGCTGCGGGGCCAGTTCTTCGAATCCGCTAACCGCCGCATCGATCTGCCTACGGAGGAACCTGAGATTTTCAGCTGCATCCTCGAGTACCTGTACAAAGGTGACTACTACCCGCGCCTTGTCCACGACAAGCGACGTCAAACCTGGATGCTCGAAGGTGCAGTTGCCTCACCCGACCCAAACAAAACCGGCGACCGCGCAGCCGCCGTCGAGCCAACCTTTTTCCACTCCGGCGTGGGCGACGTCATCCTGCGCGATACAGCCGTGTACTGCGCAGCCGATAGCTACGGCCTCGAAGAGCTCAAGAAACTCTCTCTGCGCAAGCAGGGCCTGCAGAGCGGGATCGAGGTCGGAACCATCTTGCGCAGCGCACGCTATGCGTACGAGAACACGCCGGACAGCGACTCGCGGCTGCGCGCTCATTACCTCGCTCTGATTATCCGCAGTCGGAAAACTTTCAAGCGTAGTGGCACCATGCAGATGGAGATGGAGATGGGGGGAAAACTGTTCTTTGACCTGTTCGTGGCTATGTGCAATCATGTCGATGATCTTGTGGACGCGAGGTACGCCTTGCGCATCTTTTCTGTTCAATTCCTGCAAACTGTGTTTCCCCGTGATGTTAATTTCATACTGACAAACTCGCAGCGCCAGCGCCCGCGGCACTCCCAGGACCATCTAAAGACCTCTGATTCGCACACCCACTTACCCGTCACCGTAACACCCGCAAACAAACACATACTCGCATACAACACCGGAGTACACACCAAGTTGCCAAACCATACTCCGCTCGCACACCCCAAATTGCCGACCCGCGACAAAACGTGAAAACAATCACAAAAACACGGAGTAATACCCATTCTCCCTGCTTTCCCTCGGCGTACCGTTGTATCATCCCAACTCATCTTTATCTCATCTTGCTCGCTCTCTTTAACTAGTGGAGTTTGCTCACCCCCATCGCGTCCCCCTTTGGCCCTTAATTCCAACGAACAAACAACATCAACGAACCTATTTCCCCCTTCTCTGCTTGCAGAGAGGAGTACTCGACGACGACGAAACTGCGTTTCCTTTGTTTTGTGCTTTCGGGAATCAAGGCTTGTTGTACGAACATATCAAAGGGAATAAGAAGGGGACATTCATTTTCATGACGCATTGGTGCTGCGTGGATTAGGAAGACATCGTGCTGGAGGACACCGCTCTCTGGTGGAGACGTGTCCGATGCGGTGACTAATTGGTCCGGACCGCTTGGAATGGAAGACTTACTGTGGAGGATTTGGAGCGGTCGTGGTAATGAGAAATTAACTTTGCCGCCGCTAAATTTCGTCTTGATGTTGATGTGATGTTTGATATCTCCTCTTCCCCTTCGCCCTTCACGACTACACAGATGCTAATTTGGCTTCATGCTGATGTAGACCGCAAACTAGTTTGGTTTCTTTGCAGTATGAGGTACTCTACCTTTGGAATGAAACTACGGTAAACATCGCAATGCCATCCGCTCAAGGCCGCCGTTTCCCCACGTGGCGGGACCTGCATCCCGCTGCTGCCCCACCGAGGGGTAGTTAGGTAGCTCTGGCGGTTGGAAGCTATACAACACAACATAACACAGCTTCAGTATTCTCCACTAATACACCAAACCTCAATTCTCTCCTCACAACAGAAGCCGTCGAGGAAGCCGACAGACACAATCAACATGGCCAACGTAAACCTCAAAGAAGTCCACGACTTCATGATCACCATCGCCAAACAAGCCGGCTCGCGCATAACCTCCGCAACACCCACAACACAAGGCTCCGGCTCAAAGAAGAACTGTACGTAGCACTCGTCGTGCCAGAACCCAATCCAATCCACAAACAAATCCCCTATACTAACCCTCCTCACCCCACAGCCGTCGACCTAGTAACCGAAACCGACCGCGCAGTCGAAGCCCTCATCTCGACCTCCCTTTCCACGAAATACCCAGACTACGCCTTCATGGGCGAAGAAACCTACAAGCCAGGCGACACCCTCTCCGCCGACCCCACGTTCATATGCGACCCCATCGATGGAACCACAAACTTCGTCCACCGCTACCCCTACGTCAGCATCTCTTTGGGGCTCGCCATAAACCGGGAGCCGGTGGTGGGAATCGTTTACAACCCGTTTACACAAACGCTGTACTCAGCGATCAAGGGACAGGGTGCATACTTGAATGAGACGACGAGACTGCCGCTGAGCGAGCCGACGAAGTTGGATGGCTTGAGCAGTTGTCTTGTTGCGGTGGAGTGGGGCAGTGATAGGAGTGGGAATGATTTCAAGGTCAAGAGCGAAACTTTTAAGAAACTCGCTGCTACAAAAGAAAACGGTGGGGGTATGGTGCATGGATTGCGGTCGTTCGGTTCTGCGGCGCTCAACCTTTGTGGTGTGGCGAGTGGTGGGTTGGATGTTTATTGGGAGGCCGGATGTTGGGCGTGGGATGTTTGTGCCGGATGGGTCATTCTGAAAGAGGCGGGCGGCATTATGGTGGATGCGAATCCGGGGAATTGGGACCCGAAAGTTGAGGGACAGAGGTACATGGCGGTTAGAGGGGGCGAGGGGCAGAAGGAGATCGTGGAGGAGTTTTGGGGCTTAGTGGAAGGGGCTTTTGAGGTTGGTACGTAGAGAACACATTCCTAAGGTCATGTAGACTTCTGGGCTATTCGATTTTGACAGGTTCATGGTTCTCTCTTTAAATTAAATGAGGTTGATGACCAGACCTTGTTGCCAAGGACGCTCGGTTTCAAGCAACCCAGAAATCTTACTACGCGTTCAATTGAAGTTTGGGACGAAAGATACAGGAAGGTGAGCGTTCTTCCCAGACGCGACATCTGGACGCGTCCTTATCTTAGCGCAATCTCACGCCTGGGTAACACACACCTACGTCATCGGGATCCTTCACCCAGAGCCTTGTATTTCACCTCTTGTACTCCTATTGATATTCTCACAGCATTCGTTCTTTCATTCCTACCACTAAGATGCCTACCATACTCGTTGTAGGCGCTACGCGTGGCCTTGGTGCGAGCATCGTACAGAAGTATGCAGCAGACGCGAACAACCATGTTCTAGCGACCGCGAGGGCGTCAGAGCCTCCAGAGAACAGTGGGCCAAGTCTTGCACCTCTGAGATGCTATATCAGACTAATATATTATAGCAAGCAACATAACATACATCCCCAACGTCGATCTCGAATCCCCACACGTCGGCAGCGA